AGAACCTCCCGCGACCTACTGGCCACACTCCTCCTAATGCACCCCAGGATCCCACTGGCCTTTTTGGCAGCCAGGGCACACTGCTGGCTCATGGTCAACCTGTCGTCCACCAGCACTCCCAGGTCCCTCTCCACAGAGCTGCTCTCCAGCAGGTCTGCCCTGAGCCTGTACTGATGCATGGGGTTGTTCCTCCCCAGGTGCAGGACCCTGCACTTGCCCATGTTGAACCTCATCAGGTTCCTCTCTGCCCAACTCTCCAGCCTGTCCAGGTCACGCTGAATGGCAGCACAGCCTTCTGGTGTATCTACCACTCCTCCCAGTTTTGTGTTGTCAGCAAACTTGCTGAGGGTACATTCTAACTCTTTTTTCCCTGGTTCCTCCAGTTTGCTGGCTTGTTGGGTTAAATCATGCACTGTTCTGATCTTAATGACACAGCAAGCTAGAACAGGTTTACTCTACCACCTAAGAGGTGAATTTCATTCAATTCCTCCTCCAAGGTGCTGCAGATCCTGTCTGGGCCATGCACAGGCACAGCCTATTCATGACTGTATGCAGCTGACATGCTTTCATGGTGAATATGCTTCCATTTTCTGCTGAATTTTGACATTAGTTTTTTCCTCCTGTTAAAATTCAGAGCTAATGCACTTATGGGACAACAAGTGAACTGGGAGTGTCCAGCTCCAGTTGTAATCGGTACAACTGTGCTGTAGTTCTCGCTGCCAAGTCAGGCTGACAATGGCATAAACTGAAGGATTCCTTAAGGAGGGTTTCTAGTTGATCAGCTTTGGATTTGTGAACTAAATCATCTGCTGTGGACAAAACAATACAGTGTAATCATGCACAATCATTTGGCTTGCTATAATTGTACTTAAAGATTTTCCTAAGCCAGCTTTTAGCAGAAGCTGCACGGCCAGATCAGCTAATCAGCTTAGAAAGTTTCAGCTACTTATCCACTTTCACTGTGTTCTCTTTCAGCAGATATAAAAGTCCTGTGAAGGGTACCACTAAATTTCCAGGCTACATGGAAAATTCTTACCATAAACCTCTGCTGATGTTGTCTGTGCATATCACACAAGCCAAAAACCAGCAGTAAAGAACCTGTTTCGCATGTTCTTTGGGAGCAGATAATTGACCTGTCAAAAGCAGTCTCTAAAAAAAATCTATAGGGTATATTAAACCTAAGTAAAAAGAACTGCTGGCAAGGGAGCACACTTACTTGTTACTGTGTTCAGTAGCAATCTTCAGCTTCTCCCATAAGGTACTTTTTTCCTCCATGATCAGATCAAACCATGCCCAGAAGTACATCCTCATGAGGCAGGCTGCATGGAGGGTACTCACTTTCTCCTCCAGAGTGGAGAGATAATCCTTGTACTAGGGGAAGGAAGACAGAGAAAGAGGTGAGAGTGGCTTCTTTCTACCAACCCAATAAGAAGAAACAGAGCAGCGCTGAGACTGTGGCATCAAAGGGTAATGGGGACAGGAGCTGAGGAAAATCAGCAGGGAGCAGGGTGACAAGAGTGCAAAGGTGGAGGAGCAGTATGTAGGAGAGTGTCCTGGGTGGAGAATGATGGAGAGTGGAGAGCTGAAAGAAGGTCTCTTAAGAAGGGAATGATGTTGCTGGAATGGGGACAGTGTAACTCCGCACAGACTGGGCTGCAGGTGTGTAAAGTGGCACTGCGGTGAGGGGAAAGTGCAGCAGCAGGTAGCTCGCTTGGTATCGTTTCTCCATAGTGGTGCAGGCAAACCTTTAGCCAGTTCCTGAAGCCCCGTCTCAGCAACATATGGGAATAGAAGTCCTCAGCCTGAGACACCTTCTCCATGAGGCTCCTCTGGGTGTGCTGATGCCATGTTGTCAGGCATTTCCTCTGCAGGCCCAAGCAGTGGTGCCTTTGTGCCACCTGAGTCAAGACAGCAGACACGGCAGCTACTTACTTGGATGTGTGACTACATAAACATGAAGCTATAGAAAACTGGGTACACTAGCAAATCACCTCAGCTTTTTGGTGCCCCCAAAATGCAGATGTCTGACAGCTGCAATAACTTACAGGACAGGTTCCCACAAAGAGGGGTCAGCAGAAGCAACAGGAGCAGCCTCTTTATCAGCCTACTGCTGTGTCACTTCTAGAGAGCATCCTTTTGAATTAGATGCTGTTTAACCTACTGTGAATGGAGCAGAGGCTTGGCCTGTAACAGTTCAGTTCAACCCCGTCCATAATGCTGGCCAGCAGGGTGGACTTACAGAGCAGCTGCTATCCCTCCACTTCTTCCCAGCCGGAGGCTATGTGCATTTGGTCAAGTACTTTAAGTAGCTACAGTTCTAGTGACTTAAATGGAAGCTTGCCAGCTTAGCCCTGGGCTCTGGCTAAATCTTCAGGATACGGTTGAGTGTTATTAGTCCACCCCTGATATGGCATGCCCATTCAGTCATGCACGGAAATGCTTCATTAGCAATATTTATGTGTCAAGGTCTCAGAAGCTACCACTTGCCGTTCTGCACTGAAGGTATGGCCAGGCCAGAAGAGATCGCTGGATTATCACGCATGGTGTCCTACCTCTAGCAGTGGCCAACACTGCATCAGCAGTGACTCCAGAGAGAGGGAAAGCCCTAGTAATGGGCTGGGGTTAGCTGTACTAGAACTACAGTGGCTTGGTAGCGTCTTGCTGATAAGCTTTCCTGTGCAGCAAGAAAACTGACAGGTTCATATCATGCAACTTCATTTTTTTTTTTGGCTGTGTCATACTAAACTAACTCCCACTGTGTTATTGGCATCAAATCATGTGGTAGTACTGCAGCCAAGTGGAGGCTAACAAAAGATGACTTATTAGAATGAAGTTCATTCCTTCCTCTGTCCTTTTTGTTCCTGTTTAATCAGCTATAAATGAGGATGCCACCCTTGTGGGTTTTTGATGACCTTTCAGGATTACTGTCAGATGGGCTAATTTAAAGTACTAATATAGGGCAGGAAGAATTTTTGCTTTTTCCATCTTTACCTGTCTTAAGAGCCTATTCAGGTTTCTGCTAAGTGCTGCGTCCATTCTTTTTCCCTTCCTCACATGGCACCAGTCCTTTCCTTTATCCTTAGCACTTACCACCAGGTTTTCCTTGGCTTGCTCCCTCAGCCTTTTCCATGGCACCATTCCCACCTTTCTCAGCAGGACCTTCTCATAATGATCTCTGGCCTTTCTCTGGAGCTGCTGCTCTTTCTCCAACCTCCTTTTCTTCTCCAGCTCTTTCTACAATACAAAGAGCAGTAGTTTTAATTTACTCTGGATGAAGAGGGTGTTAAGACAATAGATTGTCATACTGGAGCTGGAGGTCCTGACCTGACAGGAAATGGGGATCTGCATCATCTTTAGCAGTGCAGACCAGACATGACCCCATGTACTAGAAGCCGTGGTAGAAAGCAGAGCGAACTTGAAAATCCTCATGGAAGAGGATGGCACTTCTGGACATTTCCTTGGGCCACGTATCAGCAAGTGGCCTCCCCTCAGCGCTGCAGTTCGGTGTTACTATAGCGGACATATAATCTGTGGCTACCAGCAGTGCTGACGTAGCAGGAACCTCCTTTGGATGGGCCTTCATCAGTGTGGGGAGGGGTGCTTTGGGGAGCTCAAGGATGGCAGCTTTCTATGTCTATAAAACTAGATTGAAAACATGTCCAAAAATTATTCTGAGTTTACATATGGGCCCTACCACTTAATCTAGCCTAAATAGTAGGGGAGGGATGTGGGATATAACTGTACAACATTACTTTTGACTGAGATTCAGGGATGAAGGTCAAACATCCTAAAACACTGAATCCAAGTAGAACAATAGTTGTAGGTCAAAATTCCTGTAGGATTTCAAATGTGCTATTTGGATTATTAGGACAGCTCATTTCCAAGTAACAAGAATGAACTGGAGCTATTCCTAGGCTAGCTCCAAGGACAGGATGCTTCTATTCTTCAGGTGGAAAGTTGCCCTTGATATATCTCTCAGGCTTGTTTACTTTTAAACTGTGTGTTTGTGATGTTATCATTGTGTATGCTGGAGGGGGACACAAGTAGAAGGAGCAGTCTCAGGGTAGGCTGAACGTGCTGCCACTGTGGGGGCTTATGTGGCTATACCTCAGCAGTGAACGTCCACCAGCTGGGACCTCGTCCTGCTGATGAGACACAGACAGTATTTGCTTCATTGTGCCTTCGGTCCACAGCCCTTCCCCTGAAGTTGCCAAAAAAGGGGAAAGTGGTGAGTCTATACAGCGGGTGCTATGCTGTGGCACTCTGCTCTACTAACGAAGCCCTGCAGTTCACATTACTCTGGCTGCTGACTGAGTGCTAGTGGGTATCGTCTCTTCCCCTCCCCTCTAACAGGGATAGGGAAGAAAAGAGGTGAGGTGTTCAGTCACCAGCTTCTGCTGCCTTCTC